CGTATTCCAATGATATGTACCCCGAAAGCATAGGGCAGCTGCAATTTTCACCACTTGAGTGACCCACGACGGCCGTGGGAATAATGCTGAGATGGCCAAAGGTGGCGAACCAGGGCAATCTGCAAGGCCGTGGACAATGGCTGTGCAAGCTCTGCGCGGTGGATTTGGCTTGCCTCCTCAGGTTTAAGAATTTCGTCTGCTTGGAAATTAGTATTGATAACAATAAACGGCATCTCTTCAGCCTGGCTACATCTAAACATACCGAGGATTGACCACTTGGGGGGGATTCGTAGGCCCTGCAGAGTTTCGTCCATGTGGATGATATCCTCTCGGAAGGAGGCGCTGGTTAGAATGAGCTCCCGGCCCATCTGGGGCCATTGTGCCCCCTGTCCACTGAATACCATGGTGATCTGGGGGGCAGATCCCACGGCCTTGGTTTGCGTCGACATCTCACAAACCTTTCCGTCCCGAATAATGGCAAAAGCTCTGTGCGGAAGATGCTCCCGATGCAGAGCAAGCGTGTAAGCAGCATTCCTGGAGCGGTTTGGATGTTCAGTCGCATATTTTTCGAAAGAATCCATGTGCTTGCGCAGTGATATTGCTGAGTTAGCTGAGAAAAGAAGCAAGTCAGGCTGAGAAGCCGTCTCCAGACCGTGTCCGTTCACTCCATTGACCCCGTTAATAACCGGGGTTGGGTGGTATGTAAATATTGGGCCCAGGAGTCGACAATAAGCCTGATGAGTCGGAGTTAATGTCCCAGATGTCACCTTATAGCAAAGAAGTCGGTATTGAGAACCTACATGCGCATTGGAGCCACCGATACCAGAAGGAATTGACGCTTGATTCTCTCGGCACGGCCCTTGGGAAAGGCGGTGGGCTTGAGGGGGACGACCAACTTCTTTTCCGAGAACGGAACTGCATCGTACAAGTGGTTAGCATGAGGCACTCGAAGGAGGATTGGTGGGTTGTGGTACGCACTTTGCGGGTTAGGATTTTGAAACTTAATGTTCGGTGGGATGGTGCGGTGTTCCAGCGCGAGAACGGCCTTGATCAAGCTTGTGAGCCCGGAGGAGCCCTCCGAGTGGCCCACGTTGGGCTTTACCGAGCCGATGTACACGCCGTTGTTGCCAAAGACGTTGCCAACTGCTCGTGTTTCTGTTGGGTCACCTACTGGGGTACCGGTCCCATGGCACTATGAATTTGAAAGATTAGTACATATTTGATTGGAATTCAACGTCATGCGCACCTCGACAAAAGCGGTTTCGGACGGATTTAAGCGCGCTTGCTGGTAGACCTGCCGCAAAAGAGCTTCGTGGGCTTCCCCGTTAGGACTAGTAAGGCCCTGATTTCTACCATCGTTGTTGGAGCCGGTGTTGCGGATCACGGCTCGGATGGGGTTTCCGTCACGGAGGGCATCGTCAAGGCGTTTGATGTAAACAGCCGTGATGCCCTCAGCTCGCGCGAAGCCATTCGCGGCGGTGTCAAATGTTTTGCAAGAAGCATCTGGAGATAGGACACCCTCGTTAAAGAATACGGCAGTGGTAGTTGGAGTCATGATGAGGCTGGTGCCGCAAACAATGGCGGCCGAGGTATCTCCTGACTGCAATGCCCGGCATGCATCGTGGAGCGCCACAAGCGAGGCCGAGCAACCGGTCTTGACGACCAAACTAATTAGGGGCAGGTCAGAACTAGAAACCGAACCGGGTCTTAGAACATGCTCACCTTGGGCCACGCAAGTCAAACTCGTATGAGACACGATTGGCTTGAACAAGGTCCCCAGACCCCATCATCGAATAGTTACCCATGCTCTGCACGTCCTTCGTCGTCATCTCGTACCAGTCTTGGCCAAAGGTGCCGACGTAACATCCGATAGCCTGGCCGCGGTAGTTGACTTCACCCGCATCCTCGAAGGTCTCTCGGACAACTTCGAGAAGCAGCCGCTGTTGTGGGTCGCAGCGCTCAATCTCGCTCTTGGACAAGGAAAAAAAGGATGTGTCGAGACGAGCAAGATCGTCGTTGAGAAAATAGCCGTGCCTCGTAGGGATAGCTCCTTGGCCGGACAGCGAGGCATCGAAGCCATCGATGGCAAACCGGCTTGCAGGAATTTCACTCCGGGCATCCTTGCCGTTAATTAGCAGGTCCCAGAAATCCTCACCGTTTTGAATACCACCCGGGAGGCGAAGGCCAAGTCCACAAATTGCGATGGGTTCAGGTGTGTTTGGTTTCGGTTGATGCGGTATGGTGGACTCGACAACCGGGTTCCGGTCATTTCCATTCAAGAGAGGGTCAGCAGAAATAGCGCCATTGGTAATGGGTCCGTTGGATGAGATGGCCATGGCTGCGGTGGAATGGGTGAATAGTGTAACAATGTAGGGAAGGGTTGTCTTCGTTGGAGTGAGCCGATCAAACGTCTGAGTACCTAGGAACATGAAATACACGGGCTTTGCTTGCGAGCATATGGTACTTAGGTTACCTATATAACTTGACTCTCCTCACTCCCAACTCATTTAGCGGCCAGGTGAATTCTGAGTAAGGACTAGCCGATCATTTACACCCGTTAGCCTGAATAATATTGTTCTTACACTTTCTGGGACCTCAGGAGCTATCTCCGTGCTTGTTACTGGCAGCAGAGCCGAGGCGAATCCAGGCGGTCCGACATGTTTCGGCTTCCAAGACCTTGAGGCTCAACAAGCCGCTCGATCACACAAGTAGAATATTCGTAATAAGTAACCAGAAGTGTATCTCTTCCTTGTTTATGGGCCGTACCTCGCCGTATTCGCCCCTAACGCTCGGTTAGTAGATTTCCTTTACGTATTCCCGCACCTTCGCTTCCCTTTCCGAGTTACTTTAGCTCTGCGCCCGTGTCTAACCGTTACCGAGTCAAGGTAACCATCAAAGTTGATCTTTTGTGTACGTCTCACATGCCTACACCATCACAGTCAACTAAAGAGGTCAGCTCCCGCCAGTGGATCACAACGACGCGAAATACTGCGATAGGGCTCCCAACTGCTTGGCAACCATGTGCAGTGAGCGACCATTCCCCTCTCAGACATCCCCACAGTAGTAGACTGCAAATGGGACCAACAGTCTTGTCACGCTGCGTTAGCTTTGTTAAGCCACCAACGAGCCTCCCTGCCGAGCGTGTGTGACCCTCAGCCCTAAGGTGTTGTGATGGGGATGTCCTACGCGGAGAGACATCTCACGGGACCCGCACAACTGTCGTGTTATCATCTTCTAACACAAGTTGGTAATAGTACCCCGGGCTCAATTTCCCGTCTTGGAAACGACGTGCTTGATCCATGGCGCAGATGCCGCACCTTTCACTAGTACGCCTGCCCCCCCACGCCGCCCAAACAATACCAAGCAGGCTTATCAAATAGCCGGATCCACCTGTGTACAGGTCCGGCCATGTATGTGCTGTGATCTTTACTTCTGCTCCAATGGATCAATGCACGAGTCATGGACCACACAGCCTTACTTCCACCATCATTCTTCTTTAGGAATATGTAGTCGGAGTTCAACATGTTGTCAACACCCCTCGCCGCAGCCTCGGACCTCATGCGAGTCATGGCCTCCCAAAGCAGCAGCTTCCGAACCTCCGCGCCCCTAAGACCGCATGCGTCAGTGTTTGATACGGAATTTAATTCATGCCGCATGCAGCCCTCCGCCCAAACCTTGTTCCTCCCTGCTCGCACAGCCCACCACTAACACCCACGCCGGCTTCATCGGCCCCTGTCACCACGCTATTTTCCTCCGAATGCCCTCCCATTCGCTCGCTCTTTCGTGGTCCGAAGGACAGTCCCACCATCACGGTCCCACCCACCCATTCCAGACGACGTTCAATCTCTTTCTAGGCCCTTCACGCCTCCACACACACCATCCGATTCAGTGCTCGGCAGTTCTTCCCCAAAGCTGATATGCTGATGCTTGTTGGCCTCGCTCTCCACCGCACGCTTGTTGACTGACCGAAATGGGACGTCTATTGGCTCGCTGGATGTGACGGAAAGTGGCAAAGTCCACGCGTTATATTCGATCTCGTCATGTCTCGGTTCGAGGAGGAAGCCGGGCAGCTTAAACCGAGAGCACAGCATGGCGTAAATCTCGGCGTAAATCTCCAACAACATGAGGGCGAGCTTGAGAGGGCCTGGTTAAGGTCATGGTCAGGGAGAACACAGAAGTGCCTGGGTTATGAAGGCCGAGAGAATCCCGAGTCAAGCGGGGCAGCGATGGGATCAGGCTTGTCATCAGCATTTCTTTTCCCAACTCTGTCGACTCCGGGGCAGGCTTCACAGCACCCAAGCCCACATGCACCTACAATGATGCGTTTTGCGTGTTCCTTATCCCCAACTTTCCAACAATATTTGAAGGCTGAGATATAGAAAGCGGGGCGCAGATCAACACTGGGACGACATCGACTGGAGTCCCCAGTTTTCGCCTACTTGCGTGTCCAGTTCACTCGAGACAAAACAAGGCCGGGTCTTGGGCGGTCAGAAACGTCAACCGATGTACGGATTATTAAGAGTCAGCCACGTTACGGGATGTAAAAACATATAAGCATAATATTGGCACAATGATATCCATCCCTAGGTATTCTTTCCATCGGGTTGTTCCCATCGGGGTTCTCTTCCTCCTCGAGCTCACGGTTTTTCATGCCCAGTCTTCCCCTCTTCGGCCTTCTTGTCAGAATATCGGGGTGGAGGCTTCGGATATGAAGAAAACGGGGCATGTTTAGCTTAACCATCACTTCTCATTTCGACGGGTAAAAACCCCAAGGGGACCCACATGTCGGAGTCTGAACGAGGAGACACCGAAACAATAAAACGGACGCGGAACAAGCGCGGACAACAACCATACTTGATTGCCTGATTGGACCAGTGAATCCCGTATTCTGACACTTCTTCCCCTCCCTGGCGGGTCCATCGCCCGCAGCCAACACCGGACCCATCAGTTTAGAATGCGGGACGCAAGCGAGGAACTTGAAGGTAGGTATAGTATATCCAGGCTCAGCCCGGTGCTCGAAATGCTCCCGTATTTTGGCAGCTTCTGCCAATAATTCGGCCGCAAAGAAAGGTTTCCAGATGGCCCGATCATCCTCATGAACCTCAAAAAAGGTAGCACAGAGTCCCTCAATTCTCTCTCTCTGCTCTGGAGGGAGTTGGGAGTCGTCTTGGAGTGACATCAACTCATCGACCAGGTAGACCTCCTTCAAGTTCGGTATCTGGAAGGGTAACAGGCGATGAATAGCAGCCCAATGGCAGTAATGTTTCTCACAGCACCGTTTCTTAACGCAGCCTTCCACAAAAGAATCGTGCATAACATGGATCAAGACGATTCGCTCTATGGTCTCGAGGGGCGCACAAAATTCGAACTTTTGCGACAAGGACTCGAAATATGAAGTCCTCGCGACATCTTGGCACCGTGGGCTGGTAGGGCCATTGCCCACCAGAGAAACTTTGGTGGTGTAGTACGCCGCTGGCCGTTTCGGGAACTTTTGGTCGAGGGTAGAAAACAAGAAGGGCTCTAGGGGTGTGCGCCCTTCGTCGCGACCAGAAAAAGAATAAAGGGTCTTGGTGGAGTCGACGGGTGGAAACATCACAGCAGACACTTCCCGGCCCTCAAAGCTAGGGAGATATACGCGCTTGATGACCTGGCGGGCATCGCGACAAACCGAGGCAATATTTGGATGTGCCAGTAGATTGACGAGTAGAAGAGATGCCTTCTCTTAAACTCGTTAATTTCAACTGGCGAAGGACGATATTGGTGATTCATGGCTGGCGCCTGTTCGGGGTCTTGGTAGTCCCCATCACCCTCTTCGTCTTCGTCTATCAACATGGTCAGGACTTCCATTGATGACTCTAAAAATGTCGCCCTCTCCCAGATGTCCTGTCGGACGTGGTGGGGGAGGGCTTTGAAGAAAGAGAAAGACGACCTGGATGACATGGCGAAGGGGTTGAATCCCGCGTGTGCCTGTAATTCGCAGTTGTGGATGGTTTAGCTTTGTAACACGGGGCGGGTTGGGTTTCAGTGCAGCTGCTGAGTTTTAATATTTGATGATAAGACGAGGTACCCAGCTATAACCAACAGTTACTGCTGATTCCAGGGAATCATTGAGGTCACTTGTCCCATATCAGTGATGCAGCCGGTGTCGGCCCCTATTGCCTTCTTACAAAGATGGCAACGAAGCTGGAGTGATATCTTTGTCTCCAGCGACGATTTTTGTCCGACCCGGCGAATAGCCTGACCACTGGGGACTGGATTGAAGAGAGGAATTAGGATAGAAGGAAGGCATCAGTTTAATCAATCATGACAGAAATCATGACTACAAACCAAAGTTTGATTCACTACTACCGCCGTAACGGCGCTATGATGGTAAGAGGTATTATAACCGAATACTGCATTTACACTGACTGACAGCAGAATAGGATTGCTTACCTATGGGAAAACACACCGTGTAATGAGGTATCTAGGTACCAAGCAAGTGGAACATTGGGCCACAACAGGACTACGTGAATTCGAACAGGGTTACTACGATATAATACTATTAAAACATGAAGCAACAAAACAAGCGCGTCTAAACCTTGTAACGTGTAACTAACAGACTTGAACCACTGCTCTTGAAATTCAATAAAGTCCTTTATCAAGGCGGCGACTTGGATTCCAGCCACAAACGCCCCGATTTCGTTCCCTTCCTCGACAAGTTGGAGCGTATAATCCTCGCACAACCTTAGCATCGGTCGCGCGCCGGAATCAAGCACACAAGCAAGAACTTTCACCTGGATGTGTCCATCGGCCCCAACCTCCTTCTTCATCGAGGACAGTTGCTTTTCAAGATCGGCCCAAGTAAACACATTCCGGGCACCTGCACCTGGATTCGGGGTCCACCAGCCGTCGGCCTTGGAACGATCTATTTCAAAGAATGAAGCAGAGTCCCCACGGAACTTGGGCACACTTCCAGCGGGCGTATGTGCCTGAGCGGGCGCCAGGTTTGGGTCAAGTAGATACAGTGTATGTAGTCTGGGGTGGCCGGTTACCACGCCCACCAGGTGCTTTTTAAAGACTTCACAGCAAGGCGTCGGGCGCTTCTCCCTGTTGTTGGTGTCAGTGTTGGTGTTGGCGTTGATGTTGTCCTCCGCGACGAAGAGATCCTTCCAATAGTCATTCTCCCACATCACCGCCAGCTCCTCACAGTGCGCCGTAGCAGCAATCAAGGCCTGGTCCTTCCTAACCATTGCCTTCTTCCCCGGGCTCCCCTTCGCCGGCCCGCCATCATCCAACATCAGCGCATCCTCCCACTCCAGCCCTGGTACCAGCACATGATATGGGTGCCCACCCGCCGGCGTGCCCCGAATGCGCGTCCTATAGCCCCAGAAACAGCACACGCCGTCCCTCAGATCCACCCACTTCTCCGGCGGGCCCAGCCACCGCTTCAGGTCGGTATACGCCTCCCTGGCTTCCCGGCACGACCCCGCAATGCGGTCCACCTCCTTCTTCACCAGCCACCCGCTATCGCGGCCGGCCGTGCCCAGCGGGGTACCGGGCATGTTGATTCTGCCCATTGTGTCCAGAATGTGGAAGCGCGCGGCCCGGCCCAAGGCGGCAGACTTTGCGTTTTCGGCCGTCTGGTCGGGGATTAGAGGCGGGAGAGGAGGGTCGTTGACCGAGTCCGGGCCGTCCTCGCTCTCGAGGTCGGCGAGGTTGTTGTCGGGGTATCCCGGCTCGAGAGTGGTGAAGGGCCGGACGTAGAGGGGGCGCCTGGTGTCGGGGGCCTTGTTGTTGCAAGAGGGGGTGAGGGGGATGAGCAGGACGGTGGTCCAGATCTGTTTGCGGAGTTCCAAAGGCAGGACATTGAAGAGGGAGAAGTGGGTGGTCTTGCTTCCGGGGCTGGTTGTGGTGGTGGGGGTGGTGGTGGTGGAATCCATGTTTTGGGTAGGCGAACGAGTTTTTGTCTGATGTGGTTGAGTTGGTTTCTGTGAGTTTACTTGGTTGTTGTGGTCTTTGGTGTAAATGTATGGCATTGTTTATAGAACGTGAGGATTGATCATAATAAGGCGATGAGAAGGGAGTTTATATGAGCCAGTTGCAAACAGAGGTTTCGTTTATCTTTATTGTTTTATCCGAAACACAAACAACAGATCGGAGAATCCATTGTTTTGCTTTGTATCGGTCGAAGCCTGGAATGGTCTTGAGGCAGAGGAAGTGCCTCAAATGGATTCGATGGTTGTTGCAGCTAAAGCTGCACCAGCCGAAACTAAGAACTGTGCGTGGGCTTGTGCACAGGCCAACCTGCAGGGCGCTGGCCCTGCAGGTGCCAACAAATGGACACGAGCAACAAAACAACCAGGATCCATTGATACCTACCTTCGAGTGTGGGGAAGATCCCTCAGAAACGAGTCGAACTGTAAACCAGACACATAGCAGCGGAGAGATTACCTAGGTACCTGCAGTTCGCGGTGGGGACCCCAAGCAAGATGGAAGACACGGTTCAGGGGCGGACATGTTTGTTCTAGTTCGCTGAGCCCAAATATGTGCTAGAATTAAGTTTACTGATATTAATTACATTGTTTTCCATCCGTCTCCCCATTCCGGCCTTCGTCATAAACATGTCAATCTTTTGAATGTTCTAGTCGTGCCACAGATACCTGTTATTTCTGCTGTCGGACGCCGTTCCCGAAACGTAAACTCACCGTTCAAGCCTGTTCCCTTCCCCACGTCCAAGGATTAGACCTTCACATGCCATCCCCAGCCCGTCGTTCCCGCTTCCCGCATCAACCGCTTCACCTTGACAGCCCTCGCCGCCGCCATTAGGACCATTGCCAGCATCAACGTAGCGCCCGCAAACGCCTGAGCTCCGTAATACTTCCCCCCCGAAGCCGTAATGATGGCCCCGGCAATTGGTGGTCCGGCCAGGGTTGCAAAACTAACAATGGTAAAGATCATGCCCATTCTCACGCCAGCCTTCCGCAGGTCCGTTGTCAGGCTGCTCAGGCCGGCGGGGAACAGACTCTGGATGCTACCGGCGGTGATGCCATAAAAGCAACACCACACATACAACCCCGGCGTGGATTTGACGGCCATCCAAGAAAACACACACACCCCGGCAGCACCAGCGGCAGGCATGAGCATGTTGATGGTCCCGTACCGGTCGGCAAGGTGGTTCGGTATCACCCGGCCCGGGATGCCAACGCCGTTGATGACCAGCAACAGGTTCAAACTGCTGGTGTAATCCATCCCGATGATGTCCCTGCTGAACGAGGCAATGTAATAAAACGCAAAGTACAGCCCGAGGAAGAACTACCGCAGGACACGTCAGCCAACGATCCCGAACCCACGCCCAACCACCACCAACACATCACAAAACTCACCGAAAAGCTCCCCGCCGCGTACAGCGTATACTCGGCCTCCCCAAACGCCCTCCACTCCACCCACGGGCCACTCTTCCGCGGCGGAATCCTCGGCTTCAGCCCGGCCAACGCCACCGCAAACGTCGCCAGCTGCACATACCCAATGGCCCGCATCGCCGCGGGGAACCCCTGCGCAGGCAACAACTGACGCACCATACCCGGAAACACCAACCCGCCTGTCGCACTGCCACACGCACCCAACGCAATCGCCAACGCCCGCCGCTTACTAAAATACGTCGACAGTGTGGACACACACGGACAGAACAAACACCCGTTGCCCAACCCCATACAAACGCCCTGCGCCAGCACCAGCTGCCAGTATTGGGTGGCGGCGGACGCGCCAAAGACGCCGAGGATCTGGAAGGCCACGCCCACGACAAAGACGTGCCGGAAGTAGCCGGCGTCGGTGAGGCGGCCGGTGAGCGCGCCCACGAAGAAGAGGAGGAAGATTTGTAGCGAGCCGATCCAGGAGATGTCCGAGGGGGGCCGGTTCAGCGTGCTGGTGTAGTGCGTTTGGAACAGTCCGAAGGAGTTGATGATGCCCCAGGTGTTCATCACGACCAGGTGGGAGCAGGCCACTGAGGGGCGGGGGGTTAGTTGGGTGGGTTTGGTTTGGGGGTGGGGGAGGGGGGGTTACCGGCTATCCAGGCTTGCAAGCCGCCGTCTGGGGGAGGGCCGGGGTTCCAGCTGGATTTGGTGCTGACTTTAGTGACGACGCGGCTTGCTACTCGTGAGAGCACGCTGTTGCCGGTTCCGTGGCCATCGCCGCCGTTTTCGTGCGTTCCTTGCTGCGAAATGGGTGGGTGTTCTTGGTCTGGGGTCTCGTCATCGCTGGTGTCGGTTGCCGTTTGCCGGATTTCTTCCTCACTCTGTTTCTCAAGATCCAGTCCGGCTGATGTCGACGACGAGTCCGTGTCCTGACCGGGCCGCGCCGGCCGCTTCGCCGCATTCTCGGCCGGGTGTGGCTCCGCTTTCCCCATACCGCGGGCAGCGAGGCGATCTCAAGGGAAGGGCCCAAATGGAGGCCAGATGAGGGCTCGTATGACTAGTGGGTTTCTAGACCTGGCAGACCACGGCACTCTGAGAGCTGAGAGCTCTTGGTTGCTCGGGATATCATAAATATCGTCAACTTTGGTTCATAGATTCACCGTATTCAAGCCCAATTGATGTTCAACGGTGTTATATACAACAGTTGATGTGTCGACAAAATATCAGTAATCCCATGATGGTCACGACGAATGTGTAATCCGTAAGAATGATTCACCGCTGGCGAAAAGATCAAAATGCAACATGACTAGTTCGGCTCGCGTCTCGGCCTTCGGGAGTGTGGATGCGTGTGGGCCGATGTTACTGCATTCAGCAAACCGCTCCGAGAATACTAACGGTGAACAGGAAAAAAGAGAAGAAAACAGCTGGATGAAGGGGTGGTGGGCCCGATGCCGGCCGGGTTCGTGCCGGGAATATCTTCAAATCAATGCAAGGGCGTACGAAAGGGGGCATGGGGTCGAGGGTTAGGGCTCTGTCTGGCTCGTGCCACATGGGTGGGTAACTTGATGCATGCTCTGTTTTAGATGCGTTAGCCCTGTCGAAGAAAAAAACGGAGGATTCCTGGCATGAGTGACTGTTTTGCACGGGAAGGCCAGTGAAAGTTGTAGTAATTGCGTTGACCTGCAAGTCCCAACTCAGGTCATTTTGAATCGCTTGTCATGTCCTTTGCTTGGCACCTTGGCCGGGTGTGGAGTGCGCTCTTCTTAAGAATGAATTCTGCTTCTATAGTTGCCTTCGGGCACAGCGGTTTAGTGGGTTTGGCTCGAGTTGCAGTTGATTGCACTACATACTGCAACTCAAAGCCTTCAGTAACTTTCGCGGTAAGTTGAGTGAAGCCCCAGGGATCATGCGTCTCGACCCTAAGCTAACCATTTGGAAAACAGCTCAACATGCTTCGCCGTCACCGCTCGGAAGTACGGACCTTGAAAGGCAGCTCCTGCTCGGGTGGATCTGTGAATCTGTGATCAAAGATCATTGATGGGTTGGATTTTGGACAGGGCGGGGGGGATTTTGGACGGGAATTCATGCAATTAAGAGGTTTGGGGGTGGTCTGGTGGATGGTTGCGAGTAGACACTCCGTATTATTGTTATCCAGTCTGTTCCTGTCATACATGTGCTCCATGATCACCGCACAGTTGGTGAAAACGTGGCTGGGTATGGCGTCGACCTGCGCCTCCTGGGACTCCCGCGTGAACATCAGCAGGATGGCAGACAGAAAGAATGGAACTTCCCCGCAAGTCGCCGCCATAACCACCAAGCAGAGAAGGCGGGGACATTGATCAAGTCCAGCTTATTGACCCTTCAATTATTAGATCGTAACATACTCGACATCCCCCCTACCTCCCCCATCCCTCCTCCCATCCTTTCTCAACCCCCTTACAAGAACAATAACCGCCCCCAACAACACCAACTGCACCGCCGCCGTCGCAATCAATATAGCCCCAAACACAACGGGCTTATCCAACACCAACCGCACCCCTTGCCGCGGCGGCCGTCCCTGCACCACCACTTTCGGATTCGTCCGCGCCGCCGCCGCCACCACCCCGAGCGCAAACCGCGACAGCATCCGCCCCATCGCCGTCGCGTTGTTGTTTTGCGCCTGCCCGAACTCCAGCCCCAGGTTGTACGACGCGAACTGGTTCAGCCCGAACGGCGATGCATCGCCATCCGATGGCGGTGCGCGTTGGCCGGACAGGGCGATGGCTTGGGCGGCGACCGCTGCGGTAGTGGGGAATAAAGAGAAGGGCCCTGCGTTGGGTTGGGTTGTGGGCTGCACGGTGATATTGCATTCGTAGTAGAAGAAGCTGGAGGTGGGGTGCACGAAGGTGGAGTCCGTGACTGCAGGGCCGGCGTGGGGCTCAACGACGTGGATGGTTGCGCAGCCGGGGCCGCAGGTGCCGGTGCTGTTGGCGCCGGTGTCGTGGAGGACAGGGGTGGTCAGGTAGGTGATGGCTTCGTCGCCGACGCCGGAGGCGGGGAAAAGGATGGTTTTGGTGGTGGTGTTGGTGGTGGTGGTGGTTTGTTGGATGGAGAGGATGCCGGCGCTGAGGTTGTAGGTGTAACGGGGGGTTTGGCAGATTGCGGAGGATTGGACGTGTTGGTCGGAGTAGAGGGAGAGGAAGTTGAAGTCTTGTGAGCCGGGGACGGGCGCCGAGTTGACAAAGACGAACTCCCAGTGGTTGCCGGCGTCCCAGAAGGCGTAGGGGTACCGGGCGATGGGCGCGTCGGTCATCACGTCGCTGGGGAGGGTTGAGTACTCGAAGCTCGTGGCGGTGTCGCCGAGGATGTGGGCAGCTAGTGACTGCGGGCGTGCCCCGTCGTTGAACCTGCCAACCCGGGCGAAACGGGTCATGTCTGGGATGGCGACGTCGCCGATGGCGGAATCTGGATATATCTCCTGGATTCCGGGCTCCGCCTGGAAGGTCAGGCTCACAGCGGCGATACCAACTTGAATTGCCTTAGACGCTGTTAGTATGGTGCGTGATGGAAGGCAAGTCGGAATGGACGTGGCCTTACAAGATTTAACAACAGCCATATCGCACATGCGAACTTGAGGATGGGAGCCGGCGTCCGGATTAGCAGCCCGAGCAGCGCGACGAAACTGTGTACTTCGATCTAGGCCACGTTAGCAAGTTGTTTCTCTACCACATTCCCGAATGGAGTCCTGGTTGTCTCACCTCCTTAACATGAACACGGCGTTTCTCCACAAACCAGCGCCTGGCATACAACGCAATGTGCCTGAGGGACGCTGCGCTGTTCAGCCCAAGTGTTAAGCTAACAGCCACCACGAGGGCATCGAAAATCGACTTCTCTCCCGAGGTCAAGGTGCGGTCTTGGTGTAGGCGAATTATAAGGTAAAAAAGGACCGCGAGAACCGCAGTGCCCAGAAAGCGCAGCAGTCCAACTATGATGAACCCGGTTGTTCGTTCCCCCTGGGGCAATGTGTCGCCGCCTGGGCCATGTGTGTCGTCGTCCTTGCCGTCACCGTCCATCATCGACATGGAACGAGGCTTGGGCATCCCCATACCGTATGAAAAGTTGCCGATATATCAGCGGCATTGCAATGGACGTCAGGTTCTGGACGCATGATTTATAATGTCGGATCGGATCTGGGGACTAGCTAGGTTGTCAATTGTCTTCCTGCTGGCCTTCCACTCAGGCTGACACAATTTCGCCCAAGCCTCATAGGCCCCTTCGGATCTCGGACTCAGAAAATCCTCACACTTGGTTGGTGCGTGGGGAGCGGCCCTCGCATTCGCCTAACCAACCTACCACGAGCCTTCAGAAGCCTGCCACAGACGCCACAACAGGCGCAAAACTCTCCTTTGGGCGGAGAATGTAACCCTTGAATTTGGGCTGTGTTCGGCTTGCATCATGATCGACCGCCCTAGCTCAGGCAGACAACCTAAAGTCCTAGTATAGAGATTCGGGCATTTTATGGAATCCTTCGTGGCGGGCGACGGGGCTTACGACGTGCGGATATGGGATTGCGTTGAGAGCATAAGGCAGCCAGGGAAGAACAGCAGCGATTCCAGTTAAACAATGGAAAGTCGAGTTAGGCAATACATTGTGGAATACTTGAATTTTCACAGGAGTTGTATACCACGGATCCGGGGTTATAGCCAGCCGGCTCAGCGAAATGTGAGGAACAGCTCGATCCTTTCTCGACTCGACATACCGGTCTTCGGCGACGTTGTCCGGGAAATATATTGCCTGCATGCAAATCAGCTTAAAATGCATCATCACGGCTAACCCCAGAGATCGTCACGTTGGTGGAACGTGAGGCAAGTCTTTTGTATCATCTTGCTCTTGAAACAGCTACAGAGGGCCCCTTCCTGGCTTGCCGACAAATTGGCATGTTTATGCGCAGAACTTAAAGATTAACATGATTGCGTTTCTGCGCCCCCCCTGGACAATGAACGAGGAAACTACACTCCACCGATAACAAGTTGAGAAGACATGCAAATAGTACGTAACATGCTAGCACAAGTTTCTGCGCGCCAAAATCTTCACAGGTGCTGGTCCGACAGACGTGCAACTGATAAAAAAGATAAAAAAAAGAACCCCCCCCCCCGAATCAAAAGACATATTATCCTCGGACTGCCCAACGAAGCAACCGACGGGCAGTTTCAGTAAAGGATCCTTGAGAGCGAGGCGTAGCTACTGTGTTGGCCACCCGTGCGCGGCATGCAGCAGCGACACAGTCGTTGTCAGTCCAACCAATCTGCAAATCATCCATCGACCAAGTCGGTACACCGCTGGGGGCCGCCAGTGTGATGTTAAGGGCCGTGAGGTTGGTGAAAAAGGGAGCTGCTGCGGGATCAAGGATCGGCCGGTCGAGTGTGCAGTCAAATGAATTTGAACAAGCTGGAATCGTAAACACTGTGTGGCCTTGGATGACATCTTCGACCCCATTCCATTGCAGGCCGGTGAGCCGGAAGACGCAAGAAGCGTGGACCGAATCGCACCCCAATCTCACGCTCTGGAAGTCGAAGTGGAAGCAAAGGCTGCTCCGAAGTCGAGAGAGTCGGATTTGTGCGACGGAGGAAGCATCGTGTTGCAGCAGCTGATGCCCGGAACAGGGTTCGTATTTCGATGTTTGAGGAGCAGCGACGCGGAACCCGTCCGAAAATAAGAAGCGATGGTAAGGTGATGGGACCCGTTGCGCGTCAACGATACCGCGCTCGACTTCATGTTCAACTACGGGCCCCGGGATATCATCAAACTGACAATTGGTTAGAACAAGCGGGGAGAAGTAGTTGTGGAGAAGAGCGACTCACTTTCAATACAACCGATCCACGATCACCGCTCATACCACAGGCATTGGGCAAAGCAAGGGAACGGGGGTTGAAGTTTGCCACGGAAGAAACCGTTGGAGTCGAGATGAGGGTTGCCTGGGCTGTGGAGCGGCTGACGGTCCTCGAGGTCAGAGTAGATATCAGACTGCGTGTGAACGCAGTTCCCGTGTTGTTGAGAAACGGGGTTTGCACCGGGGTTGTCTGATTTCCGAAGGGGGCCGATATTGTGGGCGTAGTTACGACAGTTGTGTTGTTGTGGAACGCAGTAGTGGTGCGATTATAGGCCCCGGTCACGCTGATGAAGGTAGGAGGGTTTGTAGAGGGACCCACGCCAGTAACCGTGTTGCCAAATGATGTGGGGGCCGGAGTGGTGAAGTCGAGGGTTGTGGGAGAGGCATCAGATGTTTGTGCGGGGATGCTGATATTCGGGAAAGGCGGTACTGAAGGAATGAGGGTCGCCGTGGTGACAACGCCGCTAAGTACTGTGGTACCCAGGAGGGGATTGGTGGCGGGGCCTGTGGCGGACGAAAAGGACACGGTTGGGAGTAATGCTGTGGTTGTGTTGACTCCGACACTCACAGAGGTTCCGATGATAGGTATCGACGTAATGACAGTGGCGTTGGCCGTGGATGTGAAGGTGGCCGAAGCTGTAAGGGTTGCGTTGCTGCTTGCCATAGAAGATGAGGCACCTGGAAGTGACGTGAAGCTTGTGGCGTCAACCTGCGTCGACGATTTGCCAGGGGCCGTCGTTGGAACCGTGCCATTGAATGTCGCAGACGTCGGTGTGCTGGACACAGTGTAAGTTACTATGACGGGAGTCGGAGGTACGGTCGAAGTTGTGAGGTTCGCCGATGTTGGTGACGGATTTGTAAACGAATACGATAAGCTCGTAAGGGTTGGCGAGAATAAGGGCGTTGTTGTGATTGGGCCTGATGAGGACAAGACGACTGTAGAGGTTGAATTCCTTGCCGAGCTCGGGTACGTGGTCACCGGCACAGGGGCCCTCGTTGTTGATGCTGGGTATCCTGTTCCAGTCACGTTTGGGACGCTTGACGGAATGACTGTAGGACCGGGTGGTGTTGTGGGGTTAATGCCGTAACTCTCACTGTCTGTGATGGACGTGACGCCGTAGGGGAGCGGCGTCGAGGAACCTGATGTTGGTTGAGACGAAGATGACGAAGCCGTTTGCATCGGTTCGCCGTACCCGGACGGCGAGATTCCATAGCCACTGTCTGACTCCGAGAAGATGTACCCTCCGAGCGTACTGGCCAAAGTGGAAATCGAGTTGTCTGTCATGGCATGGCCGTGGTGGTGGAATTCCGTCTGTGGCGGAGAGGCCAAACCCAAGGTAGTCCCAGACTCAAAGAGCGAGATGCTATTTGTCGGGATAATGGACGTACTGGACAATGATTCAGTACAGGAACTAAACGTGTTCGCACCCCCAGATGTGCCGGTAGTTAGCGATGGCGTCAGCGTAGTGATTGAGAACAACGGCGTGGTCGTCGTGACGACGGGTACGGACCCGGTAGGGGATCGGTGGCTAGTTGAGAATGACAAAAAGGAGCTATTCAACGAGGACAAAGGCCAGCCCGTGTTTTGTGAAGGTGAGGGGTTGACTGATTGAGGCGTGCTGGTGCAAGTTGAAAGACCGATGGGGCCGTCTGTCGAAGTGTTGAGGGTGACCGGAGCCGCAGTCGATTTCACATGGCTGCTTGAACTCCAGGTCGTGGTTGGCCAAGGCGAGTCTAATTCTGTGGTTGAACTTGGCGCCGTTGTGAATATCGGGTCGACGGCCGAGACGGACGAAACTGGAGCTGGCCATAACGTAACCTCACCCGACGACTGCGAGACTGCGGTCGTGATGTTGCGAGTCCCGTGGGTTGGTGCAGTCCCTGACTGAATAGGCACAATGCTCGAGGAGGGAACGCCTGTGGTGGATGGAAGCGTGATCACAACCGATGCCGTGGAGGTGGGGTTTATTGGTGTCAACAACTCTGTCGAGGTCGAGAGTGTTTGCAGCTCGGAGCTAGGAACAATGGTCACCTCGGTGGTGGCTTCGAGGGCCGTAGAAGAACCATAACCTAAGGGGACCGTCTGAGTGAGGGTGACCACGATAGTCGAAACCGCGACCGACATAGAAAACGGCAACGTCCCACTGGTGGTAGGGGCCAGGGTGAATTTGTCAGACGCAGAGGTCGGGAGCACAGCACCAGTGGTGTGATACTGGTACTGGCCCGAATTAGTTGGCAACCCTGCGTCACTGCCAGTAGTGGCTCCTTCGGAGCTAGACGGTGGTGTGGTGGGGAGAAGACTACTCGAGGCACTTTTGCTTGTTGAAATAGTAAGGTGTTCTGTAACAGTCACCAACACGGATGAGATCGACTCGCTGCTCATGGCGGCGCCATATCCCGATGCATGCGAGATTGAGAAAACGGGATCTGCGCTGCTAACCTCAGTTGGGGAGGAGTCAATCGAGCTGGAGCCGGAAACTGATGGACTGACAGTAGAAGTGATGGTGATTGCGGGCTGGGTGCTAGAACGACTGATTATGAGGCTTGACTCGGTCAAGTGAATGCTTGGGAGTTGAGTAGTCCCAGAGCTTGACGAGGATGTGACCGAACTGCTCTCATGTCCCAAGCTGGCGGTCTCGGATGGCTGCACAGTGTAGGTAACGACGTAAGAAGACGGCCCGGACCCCGATAAGCCAGGCACAGTGTAAGTAACGAGGATGACGGATGCGCTCGAGGTCCCCGAAGGTGTATTTGCGATGGGAACCGGAGACGAGGGGGTTGCGCGAGATTCGCGGGCCGGTTCCGTAACAGTGGTGACCGCGGATGAGTCCCCAGATGTTCGGATGGCCGACAGGGAGTCATCACTGCTCGCCTCTGGGACCGTGATGGTCAGAATGGAGAGCGAGCCGGCTGCGGTCGAGGTGACCAACGAAGAAGCGGTTGTGTCCGGGTAGTTATTCACGCTGGAGCCATAAGGGACGGCGCCAATAACGGAAGGGTTGGACGGTTCGGAATACGTGACAGTGGCAGTGACAGGCTCCGCGTCCAAGCCACCAGTCTCAACAACCGGCGATGTTGTAGTTTGGGGAGGAGTCGTTGTGGTAGAAATTTCCGAGGTTAAGGTGATGGTGAGCGGGATCATGGGGATAGACCCGAGGGTATTACTGATGGGATGCGGAGTCAACACAGTGACGACCGGTGTGCCTGAGAGGAGAGACGGGTATTCTGTGACAGTGGTAACGGTGGTACTGCCCGAGATGAAGGCGGTGTAGGTCATGGTGACGGCGGTTGAGGCCAAAGTGACCGAGGAACTCGACACATCAAGTTCACCTGCCGTGGAGACAACGGCGAGCGGGACTGGAGGGCTGATCGTGGTACTCTGCTGTCCGGAATCCAACTCGGCTTGGGCTGCTGTGGCGCTGCTTAACACTGGGGACGAAGGTGTGATCGTGATTGTTCCAGTGAAAGGCGTTGGAAGAAATGAGCCAGGAGAAATGGTGTACGTGAGCTCGTAAGGAGCCTGAGAAGCCGGGTCGGTTGCTCGGCCGGTAGGGGTGTAATAGACCGTCACGGTCGTAGTGGGTTCAGAATCGAGTGTGTTGCTGGGCAGTTCGTTCGAAGGAAAAGACCATGCCGACAAGCCCTCGTTGGATAGAGTTGACGACACATAGATGGTAACGGTCACATCTTGACTGGCCGAAGTTGGGGTAGCCGCCGGTACGATGACAGTGCTGGTACCCAGAGAAAAATCGGGAATCGTGACAGTGACCAGTAATGTCGCAGTGTGGCCAGGGCCATCGGGGTATGTCACAGTCAAGAGCGAGGTAGCTTCACTGCGGACGGGCTTTGGTACCGTCACCGTCACCGTTGAATCGAATTCGAGAGAGGGCGTGGCGGTTGCAGAAGTTCCGCCGACCCAGCTGAGGGACGAGGGGTTCGCAGAAATGGAGTCAGCGGGGACACTGGCTGTGACGAAGGCCGAAGAAGGATCGTTGGATGCGATTGTAACCGTGACAGCCTTGGGAATGGGCGGAAGCCTTGTCACAGAGGGCGTGACCTGCCCACTTGCGAGAGCCGTGTTGGTGGGCGTTGTCGTGGTTCCATTTTCACGAGCTGCAGATGAGCAGCCCGTCTCCGCTGGGGCCGTGGTCTCTTGGTGCACCTCTGTGCTCGAACAAATAGACTCGGAACTAATGTCTCTAGAAACAGGATTGCAGTGTCAGTTGGACAAGAACGAACTGTGTTCGGGGGAGTTGCTTACAGACGCGGGACGACGGCGGCCGAGGCTAGCCAACTGACGCCCAGAAGGGTCGCCAGAGTCGCCCTAATACGCATCTTGGTGCAACGCAGTCACCGAGAGAAGCTTTGGAGCCCGGGCCTGACTGTGTTCTTGTGGCAGATATCCTAGAGGTTGTACGACCAAACTTGAGCGACAAATGAACGAAGGAAACGATTGTCTGACAGTGAAGTCAAGTAACGAATGGGCTTGACGACATTGGATAAAATCCAGCATGGAACTGGGACCAAAGTTTGGAAGGGGAAAGAAAGATTGTGATTTGAGAATTTGTGCGTGTGCCGAATTCGACCCTGAAGGACTGCGAGGAAGGTGCAACACGAATGGTGATCCTGCGCAAAATGAACCTCACGCCACATCCGGCGGCCAAGAGTTTCCGACGGCAAGAGCCACCGACCACCTTTGGGTACCTTTCATCCACAACGCTTTTCGGTCATGATGATCAGCAGGAAGGCACGATTCGGGGAGGAAGCACATCGCACGGGACAGGGAAAATGTGTGGGAATACTAAGTCTCATGCCGGGAAGCGGTCGGTGTCAAGTCATAGGGTAGCTTTCGCATTTACGGACGGGACGGCTATTGCCCGGCGTGGAGTAAGGATCTGGTACCGATCGGGCGCCACAGAGTAACCGATCACGCCCTATGGAAGAGCTCTTGTTTTTCCCCTATCGCGGACTATTTCCAAAGAAGCCGGTCGGCGGCTGCTTGGCGGGCAAGCCTGACCACCGCCGAACAAGGCTGGGTTGGTGTCGAAATGTTACAGTAACCAATTGGCGGGATGGAACTTCCAACCAGCGCGAGGTTGGGAACATCTCAACCGCGTCGCTCGAGTGAACAGCAACTTTGAGAGCAAACCTATAAACGATAGCGCGCTGTTGTCACAACCTTACACCGGATCATCATGGTACACTGGCCCTTCCTCCGCGGCATGCGTGTTGCTCTCATGAGCGATTGGTCGTCCAACCCGTATCCTTGCTCGTTCTTCCATTTTAGCTGCCCACATAGCGGCGCCTGCCGTGCTAGTGAGCAGGAAGAAGAAGCTCAGAATGGGGACGAGCTCCAGAATCATGGCAACCGTGCCAAACCAGAGGTATTCCCAACGTCTGAGCTTGAGCTCTCTTTTCGTCTCTTTCTTGTCTAATCCCCTGATCTTGAACCACCGGTGGTGGGACAGCTTGCCGAGACGGGAGCCGGTGATCATGATGAAGGCGATAGTGCCAACGTACGGGACGAGGTTGAGGGGAAGGAACACGATCAGTTCGATGATTTGTATCAAGCTCCACGGTTGGTATTCGGCGCGGGCGGTCGGCTTTCCGAGCATTCGGACGGCGTCCGGAGCATCGAGGAAGAGGACGCGCTGGGGCGCGATGAGGTCGGTGAGGCCATGGTTAATCAGGGTAGCCTGGGCGGGGGTCGTTAGTTGACTCGATCGACCCCACTCGGCCAGCGCAACGTGGGAAGCGTGGCTTACGTCAAAGATGTCCACCCGGCATTCGTCGACGAAGAACCCTTCGAACAGGCCTTGGATGACCACTAAACCCTCCCCCAACACCAAGACGGTGGTGTTTATCAGGGCTCCCGCGCGGCCATGGAAGATGAGGAGGAACAGAAACTGAGGCAAAAAGGCGAATGCAAAGAGGAGGAGGTAGACCAAGAATGAGATTATGGATAGCGGGAGCAGCCGGCTGACAAAGAGCGGGTAGAACTCGGGATGGCGCAAAAAGTACCAGATGCCGCGGATCGGATAGGCTGCCGCCCTCAACGCCCGTCTGGTGTAGTTGACAGCACCACGAACTGGGCGAAGAAGCGCTGCGGAGTCGGATAAGCCCTCGGACGGCATGGTTTGTACAGGCAGTATAGCGTTTGCCAGCGTTATGACCGGCAAAGCAGGATGTGTGTCACGCCTGTGTTGTGAATGTTAGAGCACCGCAGGACTTGTTCCAGCCGGTGGTTGTTTGAAGCTTGTCGCGATGGCAGTGCAGTGTCGGCGGCCACCCCTCTGGCGCGTCCTTTGCGGGCAGGCAACTTGGCACGATGATAGATAAGGGTTAGGGTGTTCCTCGACCTCGGCAACCGGAACTTACCGTTTCCGATGCGAGGAAATATTTGTATTTACAGTATTGCACTGGGGCTTGGCTTCGATAGGGTTATGGGCGCAACAACTTTGCGGTTCGCCAGCAGCTGAAGTTCTGAACTGATATAGCTCTCTTCAATTCATCTAGGCCTCGGTACCTACTGAATTCCGGCTCGAGCTACTGCATTCTATGACAACCCTCGTCCTCCAGCCTTCTGCTACAGAAGCTTTACATTCCAAGAAACCACCTCGGGGACCTCGGCGTCTCCTGGCACAACCCCGTCTACTTCACAGTGGACTTGGTCGACCGGGCCGACTTGCTCGACGCGTTCGACCTAGTAGAAGTGGTTGAGTTCTGGGACCCGCTGCTCGGAGAGTTGACTACGTAAGGTCCGCTTCCCTTTTCAGTCTTCGGGCTGAACTTGACACCGTACGTCTTGGCCAATTCTTGCAGTGATTCTGGGACCCGGTGTCAGCACTAACCTTGACAATGGATATCATATCCCCCTTCACGAGAATATAAACACAGAGTCGGCACTTACCAACATCGTCCTTCAGCACAACGTTCCCCTTGGCCACAAGATGAGCCAGGGCATCTTTGACCCACGTCCGGCAGCTGAAGGCCTCACCGTTGCGCTTGGAGGCTTTGCCGTCCGCCGGAATTTGCTGAATCACGGCCGAAATACCGTTCTTGGTAACGGTACCGACTTTCACATTTTGCTCAGCTGAGCGATGTTCCGCCGCCTCACACCGCCTATAAGGTCTGGTTGGGTTGGGGGCTTGGGGACTTGCACGTTGCCGCCAGGTTGTTCAGCAATCAACATGTATCCTCTGAAACCATCACTTTTCACCAGTATGAGTTTGATGCACGCAGTCTGAACGCTACCGCCTTCAACATGGCCGAGGATCAGAGCCAGTACGAAGCTGCGTTTACAGCTATTCGCAAGTTGGGCTTGGAACATCCAGATGGGGCGTTGCTTGAGAGCTTTGTTGAGGAGTCTGCCGACCATGATCGGGCTGCAGCATATCTTCTCACCGCCCACTCCAACACGCCTGATCTGAGAGCATTTCTAGCCCAGTGGAAAAGCGTTATTTCCATGTGTAAGTTAATTCCCACCCCCGCAGCGCAGGGCACCTCGCCTGGTATTCCATATCCTCGCTGCAGACAACCAAGCTAATTTAACTGCAAGTCATGCGCGATAGCGCTTGCGCAACACAAGACAAACAGGTGATTGATAGCGTAAGGAAGAGAGATGGCAAGAAATGTTGCATCACAGGCACACCGGGGTCGTTCTGGGATCCCCTGGTAGTCGCGGCTCTTCTCCCGAGGATTGAACCTGCGAGTCTTGCAATGGAGGTAAGTACCCCTTGGGAAAATTAAGTTCTCAGCCGTAGGCAAACCTGACTGCTGTGTTGCTGTTAGCCTTATCGCAAAATTCTTGAGGCTTTCCTCGGCCCCAAGCTGAGAGACCGACTACTCTCCGAGTCTGCCGATGGAGAATCGTTCGATCGCGTTGAGAACCACTGGCTCGTCCGCAAGTCCGCTGCTACTGCCTTTTCTCAAGGGTATATGCAGCTCTCTTTCGGAAAAAAAAACTCCACGGTACGAAACTAGTATCCATACCCTAGTTAGGTTTTGACGTCGATGATCCTAATCGTCTTCTAGTATTATCAAGTGTGGAAAAGCTGCACTGGCGGGCCTCACTTTCCTTCCATTTTGGACGAGTTCGATGATTCCAGATCGGCAACTCTCCGGGATCATTCGTCTACTGGTATCAAAATCCCGAACCGTTCTGCGTTAAAGATCCTATCCCACTTCGCCACCCCGATCCGATGGATGTATATCTCGGAAGACATTACGTCAAAACGACTAAATCCACGCTGCACCTCGCTCTTCTCCCCATTATCCTCAACGCTAGGCGTCCTCTCTGAGATATCCGCCACCATTTTTGAGACAGTCTGGTTGTACGTTCCCGGGGCTGTACGTATTCGAGTATATCGCGGTCTCGCGTTTGTTGGCGCTCGGATATATGGCTCTACTGTCGGAACATCTACGCCAGAGTTACGTCCTCGCAGGGGGACGTGACGGAGGGCAGGGGGGGGTCCACCACTGGGGCAGTCGTCACGTGGTCCTGGACCTCGGGGACGACAACCCCGGCTGCAAAATCTGAGCCCCCCTCATTTCTAGATAGAAGAACATGATCCAATTGAACCACGAATGTAGCACGTCCCTCCAGAGAGAAGGGATTTGCCCTGTGCTTCTAACGCTATCGCGATACCTGGTATTCCCTACACTGATCAGTGGTTAATTATACCACTGTTAGACAGCTCCCGCCACAGATCAGCAAGGTTTCCAGAAGAGACGGAATTGTCGGAGAGGTTCTACCGGAGTAGTGACTTCTTCAACAAAACCGTGCTAAGGAGCATTCTCGACACCTTTACTTGGACTCAGTCAAAAGGAAGGAACACGAGAGGCTCAATCCTACAGTTCGGACTCAGGACGCACTGAAGGAACGTCCATCACGCATTCCCCGCTCGCCAAGATCCTCGCGAGCTGCTGGCAACCGCCGCAAAACCAAACATCAAATCCACTTTCCAAAGAGGTAACAATGCCTCAGACAACATCGTCACCAGAGGAACTGGACCCGGGCTCGTCAACGCCAGGGAACAGCCAAACCGGAGGGAACCCGCTTACACCGCCAATCCCCCAGCACATCCTGTCCTTCGTGGATCACTCCACATGGGGAGACCTCGCGGCCATCGACGAGATCGAGGAGCCCACGCCCAAGCAGATGAACTCCCACATCTATTTCCTCATGGAAATTTTCTGGGCTTCTACGAGCTACGCAGGACGAAAGCTCTGGGGCGCATTCAAGGACGAATTCGACGAATGGACCGCCCAACGATGGGACATGGTTCCCGACCGTACCCGAAAGCACCTCCGCGCCTTCCTGAGCACCAACGGCGTGTATGTCGACAATACCAACACCCCCCTACCAGCAAAGTTCGAAGCCATCGCCAAGAGAACGACTTTCCGCACCTGGTCCATCGAAGAGATCAACACTGCGAGGGTCCACAGTACGATGCACCAGGAGTTACTGGGAAAACCCCAAGTTCATCCAAAGCATCCAGGATCTCTCCCAATTGACGCCAACGACCCCGACAGCCCCAGCAACCGCCTCACCGGTCCTAGCGACCATCCCGACACAACCACAGGCCTCTCAGCAAATCCCACAAGCAATCCCGGCGCCACGACAACAAAACCCCATTCCCCAGACGGCACCGAAACGGGAAGCAGATTGGGAAACAACCTCGGAAACTAGACAAGACCCCCAGACCTGGCCCCGCCCGTCCGAGGAACCGTACTACGCACCGCGAGGAAATGCTAAACACCTCGCAGATTTAGCCAAGTTGTACAGCGACGACATGAAGTACGGCGGCGGAGACTACGACATTCTCGACACAAAAATGGCGATTTTCCGAGATTTGTGTAATCGAATCCAAATTCCAAGATGGCAAGCCAGTGATGCTTTTCCGATCATGCTCAAGGACCGAGCCTTACGATACTATTACGACTGGCTTTGCAGCGGCCCCCGGGACTTCGATACCATGGTAGCCAAGATCAGAGGATACTTCGAGAACGAAGAGCAGCGGCACCGGTATCTGGCAGCATGGCGCGACGCTAGATTAATCAACATGCAGGCCGAGCACCCCGACAAGTCCAAATCCGAGTGCCTGGAACTTCTGATCAACAGGCTTGCCCTGATTCAACGCGCAGTACCGGCAATTGGCCAGACAGAGGATACACTGCGCATGCAACTCTTGAACGCATGCCGTGGTGTTGCCGAGGCCAGGATGGCCCTCTTCAACCCGGCGCCAACCTTCGAAGGCGTCCGCAACCAGCTGCAAGCGGCGATTGGAATCACCACCGAAAATCCCGGACCTCAACAGTTCAACACCGACGCCACTGACTCGGAGACGTTCTGGACGGACAGGACGTACAGAGGATCCGGCAGAGAATCTAGATTTGGTCGCAACCAAGGAGGACCACGCCGAGGAGGATTCAGCAACTCCAAATTCAGTCGACCCCCCACCGAGAGGAAGTGCTTCGTGTGCGGCAAACCCGGCTGCTGGTCAACAACTCACCCAATCGAAGACAGGAAGAAGTCCTACGAAAGGTTCAAGGCCGACAAGGACGCACGCGACGGGTCAATAGCAGCCTTTGCCCAGTTTATCTACTGGCATGAGGGATCTGAACTCGAAGCCGATTACGAAGATAACCCCGTCAGCCAATTCTTCCAAAAATACGACGATCACGACGACGATACTATCGACAACAGAGGAAAATTCCACAGCACCTTCTTCAACGATTCCGCACCTGCAGATGCGATTCAGGTTACGACACTCCTGGCAAACGCGGCCACCCACCACTTCCTAACGAAGGAAGACCCCTTTCAAGAGCAGGACCCCTCGGAGACTTACACCGCCGAGGGCCGGTATTCTGCAACAACTTTCAGGGGTATCATGCCCGACTCCGGAGCCGCACAATTCTCAACAGCCGGCCAACCGCAATTCCAGGCCCTGCAACGTCAACTCCCTTCAGCTACCCTGGACACAACAAGGGCCGGAGAAGCCATCGTCAAATT